GTTGTCGGCCCGAAAACCCAAAGAAAGTAGCTCCAACTCCAGCCCCGATTGGAGCGACTGAGACAATCATCTTAAGTAATTTCACAGACAACTACATGACAACTTTTTTTTCCCAACTGCCTCCTTGACATTTGCATAATTTTTCTTTCATTTTGTTCTAATATAAATTATTACTTTTTGCATTGAACTATCACAATTTAGCTATTTTTTCACTCCTTTTAAGAAATGTACGATTTTGAAATTATTTGTGCTTGGACTTGCTGCTCCCGAATTTCGCAAACAAAAGTTCCAATTGTTTGGTCTGAAGTAGATTGATGATTGGTGGATGCGATGGTAAACTGACGTCCAGTTCTTGGTCAACGCGTGGGTTTGACGCGGTGTCAATGTCTGGTTACACTAGACAACCGAACTCTTTAGCATTACTTGTTAATTATTTTTGCTTTTACATAATCGTGCAAGTTTTAAGGATGTACGTTGTGAGTTGGTTCGAACCTATTACTTAAAAATACACTTAGTTTAGTCCTTCTGGGATCAAGTCGGCGAGAGCTCAGCTTTTCACAAAGGTTGGATTTAAAAATACGGTCATACGGTAATTTTGGAAGGCCAGCTCAGGGAAGCTGGCGTTTTTGTGGGCCCCAGCATGTGGTCTCGAACCACGCCGGGGCCACGGAATTTACCCCGGACCGATTACACTTCCCTGATACCCGCGATGCGGAAAAAGATCGAAGAGGACGTGGACACAACCGTTTGCTTCAGAGTTCAACCACGTTGGTGTCGTTGTGTCGTGTGTGTGGGGTTTGCGCGTGTGTATTTGTGCCTCGGATGTGTGAGTCATACATGCGCTAGCATCGAGACCTAGGTGTGGGGGTACTCCAAGATAAATATTCGTGCTAATGAAGGGGGAGTTGAGGATTCGCGCGGCTGGCGACATGCTGCGACAAGGAGAACCCTGTGTAGGAGGTGGAGCGACCGGATTAAGGGGTTGAATAAACAGTGTCTTTCTTTTGCCGACTATGAGGGGAAGCGTACGTGTGGAAGTTTATCCGACAGGTTTACTGCAAGTTGATTGGCATTTGTGACACCCCTACCATTCATTGTTTGCTATTCACAAACCCTTGATAAATGCGCCTACGCACGCTTATGAAGACACCGTGTCTTGCATACATATATGGATGCTCAAAACGAACCACATTAGATCAACAAGTGTGTACTGTGTAGTCCTCACATTCCTCATCATTTGAAACAAAGAGTAAAAGAATGAGGGACTAGGAGCCTGTCTTGGCGTTGCATTGTGCAAACTGTGGTTTTTTATTTTCCGATGCGTATTTGGCTATGATAGTCAAGAAAACGTAGCTTTCGATCGAACTGTAGAAGTGACCTCTGAGGTGTAAAATCCGTTAACTAACCAGCATTTCTGATAATTTGTTATCCTAAACCATTTAACATTTGCAATTATTCCAACATTTTGTGGAAATATTATGGCACTCGTAATGGGAGTGCCAATTCAATTGACTACTAGTAGGCAGAGGTGGTAACTTAAATAGCTACTAAGTACAAATACCGCACAAAATGGATGCTGGCTTTGTGAAAAGGTGAATCAACTTTGGCATTCATCCGTGAAATTTTGGTGAAAAACACGGAGGGTGGGGTGAGTCATTCTTATGCTCGGGCCAGCATGCACGCAGAACTCACGCGCACGGTGGCCGTCAGTCCACTACGGTGCATTCACGAAAAAATCGATTGAATTTTGTTCGCGCACGCTTGTAAACTGCGTCCGCTCACCAGAAAAAAATCGATTGATTTGTGTGCGCTCACGACTGCTTACTGTGCTGGCCAGCTGCTCTCCACTGCTCACCCCCTTTGTACAAAGGAATTAACGAATATTTTCTTCTAAAAGGAATTCTGAAGGGTGGGTCATAGGTATTGTGCAGTCGACTCGCGATGTCCTAGATTTGGGAACATGGAAGCTAGCACTTGAGAGTCGAGAACCGAAGCTAGTTGAGCGAAATCGGAACCAAAATGCGGTATACTTGGCGAAATTTGAAAATCGAGGTGGATCGGGTTTGAAACGGACGATGGTCAGGATATATGAGAACAATGGGGGGGCCAAGCAGTGTAACGATCAGGCCAATGAACGCGTCAGAGGGGATTGGAGTTGGATGCGCCCCGGGTTTGTTGTTTGGCGGCGTCTCCACGTTGAGGAATGCTGGTTTGATGCGGTCAATAGATACGGCGTCTTCTATTCCTTTTCGTTCGACGACGAGAACCTTTTCTTATCGTTTGTGTTTCAGGTGCTCCTCTTGATTTTCACCGGCAACCTGAACATCGTCGGTATACGAAAAGCCAAAATCTAAACCAGATAATACTTGGTGGATGAAATGCTGAAAGGTTTGAGCCGCGTTTCTTAGGCCGAAGGACATTCGCACGAACTCGAACAAACCGAATGGTGTAGCAGTAGCCATCTTAAGGATATCAGATGGATTGAAAGGGATTTCATAATATGTTCGCACCAAATCTGACCTGGAAAAAATCATGCTGATTGGGTATTAGGTAGCGATCAGGAATTGTTACTGCGTTTAAGGCACAATAATCATCCCATGGCCGCTATCCACCAACAGCTTTCTTGGGAACCATATGTAGCGCAGATGACCAGTCACTGCCTGACCGTCGGACCATGCCAAGCTGCAACATGTGTTCGAATACTTGTTTAGCCGTTGAGTATCCGGTTGGGGAGAGTCGGCGTAATCGGGCAATAACGGGGCGACAGTTTGTCAAATTTTGTGAGTGACATTATACCGGACCTCGGTTTCCCGGTGATTTGGATTAACTAGATTTGGCTACGTTCGCAATAAGGCCAAGTAAGGTCCGTTTTCAACTTGTAATGTTGTAACCTGAGAAATGGCTGGCGTAGTTTGCGTGGGACACCGTACGGATAGATTTGTTAGGGGATCTATTAGACGCTTGTTCTTAAGGTCAAGCAGGAGACCAAAGTGGTTGAGAAGATCTGCACCTATGATCGGATGGGTCACCGCGGCGATAATGAAGACCCAACGAAACTGGCGTCGTGGTCCCAAGTCGAGCGTGAGGGATTTCTACCCGTAGGTGGGGATGGGGGAACCATTGGCGGATGAGAAAAGAGGAAGGCGGTATGAGGACCACTCTTCAGAGCGCGTTGGAGGGACAACGGATATGTCGGCCTCTGAGTCGATCAGGAATCGCATACCAGTTGACTTGTCGGGTAGGGAAAGGCGGTGGTTTAGGGGCCCATTAGCAGGTGACGCCACTACTGCCGTATATTCTCCTTTCCCGACCGTGCGAGCGAGTCTGAAACAGCGTACCTGCAAGTGGGCCTACACTGTCGAGCTACGCGGTCAAAAGTTGCATGATACCAACACAAACCTCGGGACGACGAGCATGAAGAGGATCTTCGGCGAGAATGTGAGCGATTCCGTCTAAATGAAGTTCTGTGTGCTGTTCGCCACAATTACATTAAAGAAGAATCTGATTTGCATTTTGACAATATGAAGAGTTTAGTTCAAATGGAAAATGGCTAGTAAGACAATCGCGGTGGCACCATTTAAGTGAGATCAGATTTGAGCGTTTATGGCGACCTTGGAGAAGCATCTTTGGCAAGTTGTAACGTCCTGAAACTACTAGATTCAGGAGCAACTGATGGGAAAGAACTGACGAATCTTGGGCAGATCGAGTTGATTTAATATGGGTACTGATCAGAGATGCCAATTTTTGAACTAAATCGTTGTTTGGACAGGTTATTTTTTAAGGTCCCAAGATTCCCAGCTGCTTTAACTTATTCGATCTCAGTTAGTTTCCAAAATTAGGGGACGCCGCATGAGTAAACGAAGGCCCTACGACTACAACATCCACAGAACCAGCAATGCGTAAATCTAACCAAATAACAGGAAAGCCATTTCGGCCAAATCGATCCTACATCCAGAATGGCTGTATTCTATCATGACTGCGTACGGCTGTGGTGTAACGCACTAACCCTTCTCTTACGTGATACAGATTTCTTTTGCTAAGTTGAAAAACTGTCGGCTGGATGCATTAGTTTATCCATTTTCGTTGTCACTCACGGTCAGTGACTACCACCATCACATCAAGCAGTGATCGGGCATTTCCGCTCTCACTTATCGTTCCTCCATAACTCATAGAGCCTAGTGACGAGTTTTTTCATCTATAAATTGGTGACTAACCAATAGTCTGCTTCTAGTGGTGTGAGAGGTTTAAGATCTGCGCCCTAGTTAACAGTCAAAGGTTTACTTGAACGCTGTGACTAGAAAGTGGGCCTGTAGAAGCTAGACTTTTAGTACTACCTTACCACCCTACAGTTAACAGCCCGTAAAAGCCCAAGAAGTGGGGAACAAGGGGTGACAGAGGACACGACCGTCTACTAGCGTAACAGGCGAATGCTAACAAGAGCCAATAACAAATGAGGGTGAGTCATTGGCTCACTCGAGCCATGATACACGCATCACTCACGCGAGGTGGCTGTCTGTCCACTACAGGCCTACCATTCAGAACCTCTGACTTAACTCAGCTTCAACCCATCTGCCTCCCTTCGCTTCGACGCGAAACTATCAGGCGCAGATGAGCCTCTTAATGAATTTACCCCCTCCTTTGCGACCTTTGACGACAACAATTCTTCAGTCGCAATCGAGGCACCTTGACAGACACCATCATCTTGTTTCCCTAAGCTAACCAAGTCTCTCCCGAACAGCCGTGCACAGCGACCTGTCCACCCTCATCCCTTCTTTCTTCAACACGAACCTGCAAAATGTGGTCATTTCTTTTTACAAAGCTTTGAACCAACTACAAAGTGAAAAGAAAACTGTCGGGCGCACTAATCCGGTGGCTCCTCCTTGCCGATGGTGACTCGAACAGATTTGCGGCTGATCTGAAAGCAGAAACAAGTGAAGCGTGAGATTGAGGCAATAATGAACGAAAACACTCATCACTTAAATGTGATGCAAATTCACTTAAGTACCCGTAATCCTACAGCTCACAATTATTAATAACCCAGGCCTAATCATGTTTGGGAAGCCACCGCCGTCACAGGGGTCTCAAAATACTCCCCTACCCATCTTATATGCTAACCGGCTTACCTTCTGAGAACCAGAGGCTGACGTCCGAATGGGTAAAGCTTCTATTGCACTGTGATCATAGGTTACCATTGTTGGAGCCAGCTGCCTCAGTTCGTTGTGTTTCGGCTTCGTGGAATGCATCACGAGTGAAGGATGCTTAGAGGTAAGTGGCGGAGGTGGCGGTGGTGGTGCGGGTGCATGTGGTGGCGACGGGGGTACAATCTGGTCCGGGAAAACTGGCACCATGCTGACAGGGGGTGAGGTGGAGACGGGTGGGGCTGGTGCGGGAGTGGGCGGAGGAGGAAGAGGAGGAGGAGTGACGCTGGTGGCTGTGGTCGTCGCGTCGATGAACTCCTCGGCAAAAGGCGGACCTGAGATGGCCGAGTACGCCGAGGAGGAGAGAATATCGCCTGTGTGCATGGACCCGCTCGACCACATCTCCTGCCCCAGTGCACTCGACGGAGCCAGCAGGAGGGAGTCGCTAGCCGTCTGGTTGCTCTCGAAACATCCGAACTATGTGCAAATGAGAAACAGTGGTCAGAACGTGCTTAGAACCAACATTAACTGTCTCAGTATTCTTCACAGTTCTGCGCCTCTTCGTGACTTCTGTAGGAATCATTCAACTTGCATACTCTTGTATACGATTGAGTCATTTTTACCCAAAGCACTGGATGCTAAATATAAACATGTGCGTTCTCGTGTGAAGACTAACTTACATAAGAATTTGAAGAAATAATTTCCCACATTGATATTGTGTCTGCATCTCGTGCACTGTTCGAGTTGATTTCCAGGTTCTGACCCTGTTCTACATCCTTGCTGTTGAAGGTCGTCAGCAGTGTGGTCGCCGTGCTGCGTTCCTCGCTGGCCGACGGCACACTCGGCGGTGGAATCTGGTCGTGGTAAACACAGCCATCCGAGGCATGTGGAACATTGGTGCTCCACCGCAGAGGAATCGCCAACAGCGGCGATGACGCCACCTGCTCCAGACGAAAGCTGAGGTACTCGTCACAGAGCATTCGAAGGAGGTAGCAACTGCCGAAACTCAATGCCGAACGAAGCGTTAGTTCACGAATCAGCAAGGAACTTGAAAAGTAAAAAGAGTACAGAATGAAGCCCTTGCCAAAAGACCTCAGCTATCTAGCCACGCAATCACCACAGCAATTTGAGCTAAAGTATGGAGGATAAGTACATTACATCTAGGAACTTTTGAATAGTAAAGACCCTGTATAGACACCTGAACCTACGTGGAGGGCACGGACGTGATGAGATTCGGTTACGACACGCAGGTATACCGAGAAACGGAAAAAGTCCCACAAAAACCGACATTCGAGAACTGGATGGTTGTGTGTGCGCACTTACAAGTCTCAGACGTGCACAGGTAGAAATTTCTCTCCATGTTTTTTTATCGACAAATCTCGGACAGAGATGACGGATTTGAATTAACACGATCTACCACTCCTAGCTATCCTTCGGTGAAAGGAGTCGACAAGCCTTTTTCGGGTACTTGTGAGTGTATGTACCAAAGACGTTTTAGCGAATGGCGCAGAACACAAAATGACCATCTTTAGCATAACCTGTTCAGACAAGCTTTTACTGCAAAGTCTACTACTGCACACAACTGCAACGGAATGTCTATTATGTGTACTGCTTACTATACGAGAGCCTGGAAGTGGAACAAGAGAGAAAGATATTTACTTACCAAAGAAGACTCAATGGGACGCCAAAATCTATATCGCCCGATGGAAAAGCCACAAAAAAGTCAAAGAGGAGAATGACCAGGCGTGATTCTTGCAGAAACCAAAAAACCATCGCCTTTTATAATCTACTCTACTAAACCACGTTTGATTGAAAGAGTTTGACAGGTTTGAGTGCTATTGCCATTACTGACAAGTAAATCACCTACCCATAGGATGGACTATTCCATCGGCGTTAACAACTAAACATGGGACTTGGTTGGCGCACAGATCACTACTCTGTAGGATGTGGACACTGAATGTGGGTTTCCACAAATCGAAGGGCAACGCAAATCGTGAGAGAGCCAATCACAATACAGCAAATCACGCAACGGAAAAGGCCGTGTGAATAAAAGAATTAAAAGGCTTTTTTAGGTGGTGAAGTAGTGAAAGGTGGTAATAAAATCCAGTCTTTAAGAAAAGAGTTAGACGTCCAGCTAAAATGGCAACTTTTGAATAAAAGTGCAAATTCGAGCATTCAAACAACAACACTGCCAATGACATGCACTTTTAATGACTGAAGTGCAAATCGACTGGAAACCTGAGATTGTCAGCCTGGAAAATCCGTCAGGACGATTGAATCGTGTCGATCAGCATATCGGTAAGCACTGCGTAAAAACGACTTTCTCTTCCCTACCTCACACAAACATTTAACCCCACAATTTAGATACTGTGGACTATTATATGTGGAAATGAAAGAAATTGGTTGTCCAATAGACCAAATAGGACAAAAACGTGAGCACGTGCGTGCAACGGCAATAAGCGTCTTGTTGAGGGCAGAGGCATGTTGGCGGGACCACAGCGTCAAGCTAGCCCGGTTGCGCTACCCTGAGTGCCCGCAAAGGTGAAGACCGGAGAGGGCAAGGCACAAGCGTCTACTAGACAGATCAACCAAGTGGGCTAGTAAAAATGCAGACGTCTGAAGGGTCGTACGGACAAAGCGGGTGGTAGTTGCTCTTTGAAGTTAGGATAGCATTAACCTGAGTTTGTCAACATATCCCATTTTAACAGTTTGGCCAGGCATTCATCAATTCACAAGTTTGTGCAAAATCAGCATTGAACACGTATTGCGGCTGATAAAATACAAGAAACTTGTTTGAACCCTTTAACTCCTACACAGCGGATCAACCCACAAACTACTGGATTGCAAATGTCGACAGTATCTTTTATCAACTTGGAGCATAGCGCCTTGTTTATGGCGAGATTTTTTCAGTTTGATAATATTCTCGCATTACAAAGAGGGAGCTTTTTATGTCTGTGAATAATTACTGCGGTATGGGCAGGCTTGTATGAGATTTCGCTGGCTTATTTGTTATGCAGGAGTTAATTCCCACGGGTCGCTCTGCTTGATTTTAAGTCCGAATCTACCCAAGTGGTTTGTTTAAATGATAAAATTTTGACCGAATTCGCATCATTGAAAGTGGATAACCACAATTAATTTTATTACGATGGGCTGACAAACTATCACGAGATGTTAAATTCGAGTGTCGATGTTGAATGATTTCGACCACACTCGAAACTCATGCGCACTATGCATTATGTGTACTCCAACCAGGCGTTATTTACCTGTAGTAGTTCCACACGAGCATCAGATGTCGCGCAGCATTCGCTCTTTTGGGACCGGAAACTCGACCCGAGAGTCCACGGTGGACGACCTTGTCGAGCCAGGCAACCCAGCAGTTGAGGGAGGCGTTCGATGAGAGCAGAGCCTGCAGTTCCACGTGCAGCTGGACCATTGTGAAGGGACATCCACCTCTCTCGAAGGCACCATCTGAGCCTTCATTGTTCGAACAGGGGGACGACTTGCGACTCCTACAGCCCGGCAGGAAGGCAGGCATGCTCTCCTCGCGGTAGAAGGCATCAGTGCCCGTGACGACGAAGTTGGCGAGAAGGCTGTGCTCTGAGAACAGTGTCCATGAAGGGAGACAGTCGCTTGCCCATGAACCCTGTGCCTGGAACAGAGAATAGCAGCTGCGCCTAGTTTGTGACTTGTTTATGTACTGACTATGTCAAAATCTATCAAGTTTACCATCTGAAACATAAAATATCCTAAAATACGTGTAAGAAATGCCATGATTTCAAAAATTTTATCCTTTATAGACGGAGGAAGAAATGAGTTTTGAATTTAGAGCCATCTTGAAGGTCTTCAGGCTTGGAATTTGTCGCAGTAAAGTCTATCCATCATTATCTTACGTATCCTCGCCTATTTACATGGGTTCAGTCGAGTTTTCTGGAAGCTACGTCAGCCAGGCCCACCAAACACCAATGTTCCATCGCCTACCCGTAATAGCTGACTGTATAATGTCTGTTGTGGGCTCCAGCATGTGGTCTTGAACCAAGTTGAGGCCACGGAATTTACCCTGGACCGATTACACCTCCCTGATACCCGCGATGCGGAAACAGATCGAAGAGGACGTGGACACAGCCGTTTACTTCAGAGGTCAACCACGTTGGTGTCCCTGTGTCGTGTGTGTGTGTGTGGGGTTTGCGCGTGTGTATTTATACCTCGGATGTGTGAACCATACACGCGCCAATATCGAGACCTAGGTGTGGGGAGACTCCAAGATAAATATTCTGGCTAATGAAGGGGGAGTTGAGGAGGTGGAGCAACCGGATTAAGGGGTTGAATAAACATGATTCACAACACGTCTACAGAGGTGGATTTCTCAAATATTTCTTAACATTAATAGATGGCTTTCAAGACACGTGGCCTAGAATTGTGTAAGCCTTACCTCGATGCTCTCCAGATCGAGTTTCGAGATGTCAATCTTCATTTGTTCGAGACGCTCCGGCGTCTCCAGCACTTGGGCGACAGCTCGACTCAGGTGGGCGAGACCGATTACCCTGCGAAGACCCTTCACAAATCCGCTGATGGCGGCCAGCTTGCAGTTTATGAGTGTCGGACTCAAGTGTCGAATAGCCGAGCGCAAACAATGCTGAAAGTCAGAAGAGTACACGCAGCCTCTGAGTGCAAGAGATACTGGACGGTCCATCGGTTGATAAAAAAATCTTATCGCTATTAGAGACGCTGTCGAGTGCATTTAAAAGTGAGCTTACCTACCTTCTCGGTGTTTCGACTCCTTGTTTATCACATTTAAGTACGTGTCACGGCCTAAAAACCGATATAAGCTTGCCTATTAGCGATAGGGGAACGTCTACTGACAAACCCCTGTGCATGAAATTCTCCTGCTATCCGTTTATCTCAATTTGGACTAGTTCACCAATTTGTGTTGGTCGACAACTACATTAGTCATGCACCCGCACACGACATTGACACGTGGTCGAGGCATCGAATAAACGGTTCTCCTTCTCCTGTTTCAACTCTTCCTTCGGCACGTTGTGCTGTGCCGTGCGGTAACAAGATGTTCTGTAGTACACGAAAACAGTGTTGGGCATCCACGATACCTCAAGATTGCTCATCGTTGGTTTTAGGCACTATTTACACTCATTCCCCAACATGTGTTTTATTGCGCTTCTTATCAGATCAAGGTCAACCTTGACTCGAATTTGTTTCACTTTTGACAACCCACTCCGCATGTGGTTGAAGTGATTAAAGCTGCCTACACGAGCTCTGGTCTTGTTCTTGTATGAGCGTGGGAAGGTCGGCACCAGCATCAACAAGGGATCTGGTACCGTTATTTGAGTGGTTTTCTCTTTGTTACGGGCAAACATAACAAAATTTGGCGACGCAGGTGAGATGGGTGACAAAGGGATGGAATAATTACTCAAACGGCTACGTCAATGCCTGCAGATCGCCAGTCATCTCAGGCCGCTCCTGCCAGTACGCCGTCAATTGACGGCATCACCAACAGTATCTCGGCGTTCTCCTATGATCCGGAGAACCGCGTAACGTTCGAGTCCTGGTATCGGCGTTACGAAGACCTGTTCCGAGTCGATCTCACGTCTCAGGTCGACGCATGGAAGGTCAGACTCCTCGCCCGCAAATCGGGTCCAGCAGAACTGAAGAGATACACGGACACGATCCTCCCCATGTTCTCGCTAGACTTCACTTTTTGAGAAACCGTTCAAAATCTCAAGCGGATGTTTGGAGAACGTGACTAAAACTCTCTGCACGAGCTCTGGTCTTGATCTTGTATTAGCGTGGGAAGGTCGGTTCTAGCGTCAGCAAGGGATCTGGTACCGTTATTTGAGTGGTTTTCTCTCTTGTTACGGGCAAACGTACCACTCACCTGAATTCGTTTGACCATAATCCTCACGGTGTGAAGCAACGAAGGCGGCATCGACTTGAGGCTGTCGCCAACTATAATCTCTAATAGGGTCTGGTAGAGGGCGCGATCTGCAATTTCAACAAACTGACACAGGCACTTCCTGCTGTTGAGCAAGGCGAGATGCACTTTGCTTAGCCGGTTTTCGTACGTTTTACTGCTTTCGCCTTGGCTCTAAACACGGATAAGGCGCCAATTAAGTGGCAGCTAAAAAGATGCTTCCCATAAAAATAGGTTTAAACTAGGCGTTACTGAATCACGGCCCAATCGGTCACAAGGATTCCAAAATCTTTGCCAAATGTTTCTAAGTTTTTCGAGTTGTGGCGTTATGATTGCCTGGTAGACTTCTGCACAGTGGCGTTCGTAGAGTTTCACAAAGTCGATGATTGCCTCGTGTTCTGTGGTTTCTTTCGAAATGCGACTGGGATCGCCGTTACCTTCCACGGACAAATCCATCGGATAAGACCCTGAAATAGCCTTGACTATTAAAATACAGCAGTGAAAATGTAGCCACTTCGCAGCCAAATAATCTGCCTATTGTTTTTAAAACAGATATAGTGACTAGGATATGATTTAACTGTTCTGTACTCGCGTTTCCCACTACACATCCGAGACTGTGGTATCAAGAATTAAACTTGAAAAGCAGACGAAGCCGACTGTGACCTTTCGAGACTAGTACCTGGGATGACTAGACAGGAGGCGAGTGAAATGATAAAATGTTTACTGAGACACATAACAGGACAAAGTGGTTCCAGCACATCTTCTTAAATTTGACTGTCCTGAATCATCTAGTGAGAAATATTCACTAGATCACCTAACCCACTGTGTTTTAATTCAGAATATGGGGAAGGATATCTTAACAGATCACCTTCTGAGTACACAATGGAATGTCACAAATCGGGATTAGTTTAAATTTAATCTAAAACTTGCTTTATTTCGTTTTTAAACTAGTATCCATGTGAACTTGCTGATAGAATCACAAGTGGAAGAGTATTCATAATTAGTATTCTGAACCGGACTAACAACGGTGACTCCAACCTACCACAGGTTAGGTTTAGATCAATTCCGACGGAATGACAAAGGTCTGTGAGTCGAGGGAAGCTAAAGTTGTGGTCGCTGCCTGAGCCGAAGTAGAGCCGGTCATCGCTATCGCCGGTCTTGTCTGTCAAGCACACCAGGCACCTAAGATGGTGGCAAAAAAAATTCAACACGGGTTGAAATTCAGCCATTTTGACCTCAAAACAGAAGCTGAACGGGCCAATCAAGTGAAGAGTAGCAACGTGAAAGTCATCAAAATGGTTTTCATTGGTCGGAATTTGGGTTAAAAGAAGTTACAAGCGGGATGCGACAGCTGAAACCAAAATGGTCCCAAGTAACGGTTGGCTTCTTCTAGCTAGAACCACGTAAAAGCCAGGGAATATTTTCAGCGTAATAAAATGACTCAAACAGGTATTGCAATTTCCGAAACTAGAATTCCGCTCACGGACATCTGAATGCAAACGTAAATCAGTAAAAGATTTGTTTTAATTTGTGGAAGTGCCTACAAAAATGGCAGAAATTCGCCTCTTTTCCGGTCTTTTTCGAGTTGTAAAAAACTATGAATTACTTAGAACAAGTGAAGTAATCCAATTAGTGTTGATTCGCAAAGCAGTTTGGTTATTCCACTTTTGCACTAATCACAACCCATCATGTGTGTAGTAAGTGTGCACATCACAGAAAATTCCACTTGGTTACTCTCGTTGACTGGGATCAAGGCATTTCAAAATGACGGCCTCCTCATTCTTTCAATTTAGTTTGTAGACGTAATCTGTCGGTGTGAGAGATGTCAGACTCTGTCGCAGTCTCTGATCTTGTGCTGAATTTCTAAGTGTGTGATAAGGAAATGAAATCGAAGCAGGCAAATTTGATCCGTAGCCGCTGACAAGGCGTCCCATCATCCAATTATGGTTGGTGCAATTCGCCCGCCACCTAAACTTACGATTAGCGACTGTTTATTAAAGATCTACACCTTTTGATGCTGACGATAGGTCCTAGGGTAACCGTTTAACCACTGCTACGTGGTGTTTCTTTTTTTTCAAATACTCAGTGTAAATTTTAGTCAGGATATAAATGCAAAAGAGTAAATCGTTCAAGTGGTAAGTAGTAAAGTCGTGCAGATGGCTGAACTTTGTGCTAGATCCAGTAAAACATTGGTCATTTTAGCATGCCAGACTTGTCCGTCCACCAAACACTGACGCCTGGACCACGAAGCGGACTCACCCAGCGTCGATTCCGGCGTCGGTAACTTCTGTGTCAACGGGGAGCTTCCCTCCCTCTCTCGAGGTGCTGGTCCAATCGAAGTCGGGCGGTGAAATTCTCTGCTGCTGCTGTTGTTGGTTGCTTCCGGTTGCTTCCCAGGGCTTCCACAGCCCCGTATTCTCGTCACTTGATTCCCGTTTTGTGGCTGTCGTGACAATGAGCCAATCAGGGTCGCATGCATTCTCATTGATGTCGATTTGGTAAAACCATCAGTACCAAAGCTATCTAGCCAGTCGCACAGCTTGCACTTTAAGATCAATGCGGCCAATTGGAATTTGAAACGACAGACTTCGAATTTTCGTTCAGGTCGTAAGAGGCTAATACAGCTTTATTCAGCCATGTATTTCGATTTCAGGACTTACAAAGTCAGTGGTGAAAGTTAAGCTAAAACATTTCAGCCAAGTTAGCTTCTTTAAACGAATTTCCATGAGCTATTGCTGGAAGGTGACGCCTGAGGAGGCAATTGATTCCAACTGGAAAAATGTAAAATATTGTTAGGGATCTAGCATTCCCCATGACACCTCATTGTGGGTAAGGATTTCGTCAGTGCTTACACAATTCCCCTAATCACACCACGATACCCTACCGACAACACCATATGAGTCAATTCGACTTCATCCATCAGACTGATGTCATCCTTAACTTATACAAGTGAGCACGCTCGGCCTTTAGCTGAGACGTTAAAAGCTCTCTGGATAATCTCTTGCCTTGTCTTACATCAGCGTGGGATCGTGGAGTCTAGCGTCAGACAAGGGACCAGAGGTACCGGTTTTCTAGGCGTGTGGATCATGGTTACAGGCAAAACGAAAAGCTTTTGACAGGGTAACTTTACCAAACGTATTTCCGCTCTCATCCTTAAAGATCAGACTGGTTGACCTTGGCTTTACCATCGTTGGAAGGTCATTTGGTGCCAGACTCGCTGCACCCTCTATCTGGGATGTGGAACCAGCGACCGGCAACGGCTTGGTTATGCTCGCAACGATGCGGTGACTGTTGGTATTGCTGGTTCCAAGGTACGCGGGCTTTATGAAACTCGAGTAGACGCCTCTCTTGACATCGTCTGTTGGCGCCGGTCGTGCGTAGCTCGAAGTGCCGTCAGACGAGGTGCCGTCGGAGAGGTTAGTTCGAATCGATCGGAATTTCGAGTAACACGCGTAAAAACTGGACACGCCGTTGTTGGTTGAGGTAATGGGCTTAGTCGAGGCTGGTGCTCCCTGGGCTGAACAGGAAATACTTTCAGGCAACTTCTGAAACCTAGAGTAACAAGATAGCATGCCGACTTTTAGATTATGATTAAACCAAACGTGAATCGTGTTTAGTCAAGCTCTTAATTCGATCGTTCCGCCTCCGACACAGGGTTCCCCTTTTTCGCAGCATGTCGTCAGCCGCGCGGATCCTCAACCCTCTACTCATTTGCACTATCTTAGATTATCCTCACACATAGGTCTCGATATTAACACGTGTATGACTCACACATCTGAGGTATAAATACACACCCTCAAACCCCACACACGACACAACGACACCAACGTGGTTGAGCTCGCAAGTAAACGGTTGTGTCCACGTCCTCTCCGGTCTTTTTCTTCATCGCGGGTATCAGGGAAGCTTAATTGGGCCAGGGTTAATTCCGTGGCCTCGGCGTGGTTCAAGACCACATGCTGGGGCCCACAACAAATCCAAACACGGCATCACCACCCCCTCCCCCCCCCCTTTTATGGTGTCTGTTGAGAAGGTTAAATTTTGTGTTGAACAGCAATGAAAAACGACAGCGACCAGTGAGATTACAAGTACCGAGTCGGTAAAGTATTTTGCACTATAATATTCCCCTACTATTTGCATGCTGATTTACACCCTTCACTGTCTTGAAGGACTTTGACAAGAAAGTACGCGTGGTTATTTAATAGTCCCAGAGACACCTTGTGCAATGAAATTAGTCATGTGATCGTGTGGTCTATTTTTGTGTTAATTAAAGAAACGCAGTAGGCTGATAGACTACCACTTAAATTGCCTGGGACATAACGTATTTATGTTCTCTCTAAATTTTCTTTGAAAACTTCGCATTTTTAGTGCAGTAGCAAGAAAGTTTGGTTACCTACCAAGCTGATGGTCGGTTTATTTTCATGGTGTTGAGACTTGAAGTTTGCTTGATGCGAATGCCATAGTAGTGGTACTTCGAGTTGCCTCTAGAATGCAAGAAAATTAGGATTCATTTGCGTGCAAACTTCTAAAAGTGCATGAATACATCTTCAGAGGCTGTGATGGAAGCATACCGTGTGCCCAATCGTCGCGTGCGCAAACCGACAAAGACGGAGCGGATGAGTTTGCCGAAGGAGGCTGGGTTCATGGGTTCCAGCCAGTAGTCGAGGCAGTGATTTAAGTAGTGCGAGTAGAGTGTGCTTCGAGGCAAACTAACGCCTTCCGCCGTCTCGTAATTTTGCAATAGCCATTGAACCTGCAACAAAAACACGCCTTTCGAAGCACGCAAATAGCACTTCTTTTCATTAGAAATTAGAATCTAACCTCCGTCATCTGTGATTTGATTTCTTAATAAAAATTACACATTTGTCTATGTACCCTACATGTATTTAAACAAGACTATGTATGCCCTACGACGAGTCGTTGACAATAGTTTGCTTATTAACCAAATAATTTGATCCATTTCCTTCGATCCCGTGATTACCCACGCAATTGTGATACCAAGGTAAATTATCTTTTAAATTAGTAGCGCTTGTGTGGTGGGTCTAGTAGATTTGAAGCATGAAATTTGTCGTCATTATTGCGAATGACGTCACATTTACCCTCGACGATATGCTCACCACCAGGTGATTAGATGTGTCGCCGAGAGCAGCACAGTTAGAAAAATTAATTTGTTAATTTTACTGCTACGTTTAGTCCTAATAAGTTCGTTACATTTCGTATTGTAAGTTATTGTAGTTGGCTAAATTGAATTAAAAACAGAGTCATTGATTTGCAGAGTGGTTAGTGAGCCAGCTTGTACATCACACAAAAGACTCCTACACGCATTAAAAATACGCCTCTCGACTGCGAACAAATGAGCAATTCTTTGTTGTCGAGTTTAAGATGTCATTAAAAATCCATTAAATAATTTCATTGTAACAGGTGCGTTAGTGTTTGCTCCTATTATAATGAAGGCATGACGTCGGTCTAACCCGCACACGGTCTGGCACAACATCGATTTTTGTCATCTGCTCAACAAAAGTGGATCATGCGAACAGCTGATTAGACCAGCCGTAGTGCAGACACGTGGCGCGCGAGAGTGCAGCCCACCTGGTCAAAAAAATCCCCTGATTTTACCAAAAATTGACCAACAAATCTCAGACCTGTTCAAGAGCTGCCTGAATGCCAACAGATCACCATGAATCCCTCTAGGACTTCTACAGCCCCTAGCCCCCGGATACGGTAGCAAGTGAATTCTCCTTGCACGACACCAATTAAGGTTGAAAGACTCAATGACGCACAGGACTACCGACGTGGAAGCGGTCTATGGATCAGGGGAACGATCATACGAATCATCTTCCACGTGAAGATACTTCACAACACATGGATGAGATATCGAACCAAACTCTGACTAACTCCAGGTGCGGAGACGCCAAATCAGCAGACAGGAAGTGCTAGTCTACAAAGTTCAAGTGCCGACAGCACCGGACGTCTTATCAAGATATCTAAACACAGATCGAAGCCCAGTGGACGAGCCGGTGCCTACCGTCTTCTTCAAGGGGAAGAGGTGTTGGGGATCCAGCATTCCCCAAGACGGCTCATCGCGGGTTAGGATTTTCCTCTTACCACGCCATTCTAGTGGGTAGGTCACCCGTGGCACCCTACTGACAGCCCCATCTGTGTTAATCCGCTTCATCCATCAGGTCACGGACATCTTTAACTCATTTAAGTAGGTGCATTCAAACAGATCGCTCGGCCTCCAGCTGAGACATTAAAAGCTCTCTGCACGAGGCAGTGGGGGAAGGTGAGGTCCAGCGTCAAACAAGCGATCTGGGGTACCGGTAACTTGAGTGTGTGGTTCAGTAGGCGATCAGATCATCCGCACCGCTCGTAAAACCCGATCAAACTGTCCGGCAGGTCTGTACACACAAGAGTAATTGTCGCAGATAAGTTGACAAGCTTGATTCGTCTTCCACAGTCACAATTGCCTGCCAAACGCGTCCGAGATCTTTTCACGGATGTTCTTACCAGAAACCGCTGTGGACTTTCGGTTGAATCGTGATGAGGAGATGCGAAGACCATGAAAGCAGTTTGGTGTTGTTGATGATCTTCCTGCAAGTCGTCGTAAGCGCGTCATTCTTACGGAACGAAGTGAATGTCTTGCATTAGCGTCTGATAAGGAATCTGGGGTGCTGGTTATCTGAGGGAGTGTGTTGTCTTGGTTACGGGCAAAACTTAACAAATTTAAGAATCAATCAAAGCTTAACCGCAAAAAAACGCCCCCACTTACTGTAACAGGACTCGCTCGAGTGGAATGGTGACGCAGAAACCGAAGGTAGTACTGGCCAAAGTTGCTGTTCATTCGCGTGAGCATTGTGGTGGCTCCCGAGGTCACCGTGGTGTTAGATGAGGGTGTGGCTGAGACCGTCACCGCATTTGGAATGCTCGAATTGGCGAGAGTGCCACTTGTCAGACGATTGGGCTCAGCCTGGTACTGCTGCTGGGCCATCTTGGGAAAAGAGAGCACCGGCGTCGTTAAAAAAACATCATCCTGACACTTTCCAGATTTCATCGCAAATAATATCAGGCAATAATAGTACTGATGCTACTCGACGTGTCCGTTGCTACCAGGCTACCGTTCTAACCGATTCCATCCAATAGGCCGCTCATGAAAGAACTGTTTTAATTGTTCCTACAATTCATTAATCTGCAACAACACGCCACTAACCACGTGGTACTAGCTCCCTTGACTCAAATTAAAGCCTAAATGAAATCCTGAGTTTAAGGACAAGCACTTTCCCTCATTTACGTTATCAGTCCCCTAATTTTTAGCTGTCTCTTTCCCATCCAAATGCTCTTCACTGTTAAAACAGTTGCTTGAATGTTCTTAGACGCCTCAACCCTAGAAATTGAAGCCTAGGTTGACGTTTATCAGATACTCTGTTCAACGATAAACCGCTCATGAAATCCAAGGAATTTCATTTACATTCGTTCACGTCATTGTAGAAGGCACTTTTAAGTAACTCAAAAAAACGATTTGGCTAACCATAATTCGCTTGTCTGTCAAGTGTCAGAATGAATACACGTGGGATACTGGCACACTTAGATAATACATGTGATTAATGTTTTTGGGATTTCCATGGAAAATTAACGAGAAGCTATCTCGAAATAAGCCCTAGGTCCCTGGGCATAATCGTGCGATTTCAATTCAATAAATTCACGCCATCTACTTTCCGGTAAAACATTAGCACATCTGAAACCGACCCGACGTTAATTGAAAATACGCTACAGGAAGCAACTAGCAAAACTGTGAATTGCTCGTTTATAAGGCCACGAAAAGATTCAGTCAGTCCAGTTTAAGTTAAATTGAACAAAGGAGTTTAAATATCCATAGGATGTGTCATGTGTTTTAAAAGGAATTTGATAGGTTTGTTACCTAATAGTATGAAATTTGCTTTAAATAGTGTTTAGCATATGCGTGAACATCTGTAAACATTTTATCAGATGCAAATTGTGGTATTCGACAGAGCGAAGTAGCCACCTGTGTAATTAAACACTTATTTCGAGGGGATTTAATTGTTCATATCTTCGACGATGCATAAAACTGGAAACTTTTTCTATTAAATCATGATCGTCCCCACTATTTGATCATGACTGGCCATGTTTTTTCAACCCCTGGTCTCCTGTTGTACCACTTGTCCCAGTTCGTGAAAGTGGTACAGTGTGTGAACCGTCTCAGTGTGTTTGTGTGTTCGGATTTCTGCCAACAACCCATGCAACATATCTGAAGCACGGGTCCCAGGTACTCGTGCTCACGTCCAATAAAAGCGCGCGAACGACCTCAGTTGACTTCTTCGGGTGTTTGGTGTCTGATCACCTCAAGGCAGCAATGATAAATAGTTTTTTTAACGATGAGGTTGCACAATCGACATCAAAAGTAAAAACACATCAATATAATTTCCACATAAAATATGCATATAAATTACAAATACGTAAAAATTGCCAGGGGTGTACAAACGCTTACGTGGAAGTTGACGTACGTAAAAGTTCACTTGTCTCCTTAATAAAAAAAAACGATAATTACGAGTAGACAAATAGCAACGTCGTGGGTACTAATCCAATTATTTTTATAAGCGCGTAAGCAATCAATCCGAGAATTTAAAATTACACGTTATAATGAGAGCAACGATCAATAATTCCTGAATGACTCATTTCCATGGTGAACGTCAACAAATAACGCGATTTGGTGCAGAGGATATTTGACGTCAAAGTAGACGACTTTTGCTCAATGCCTGTCATGTAAAACGACTAAAATTTTCGAAGATATGTATGCCAAGAATAAATTCGCCAACAACTAGGCACGAGACAAAAAAAACATAAGACGCGATTTCACCAAAATTTGCCTAGTTATTTCTTCGAATCGGGCATGCCGGGGTTGATAAAATGGGGCGTATTAGGGTTCTGAAAAATTCTCCGGTTTAAACACTTAATAGTAGTCCATTTGGGTCCATTCTCGAAGGGTTGACTCAAGATCATGGCCGAAATCTAATGTCAGTTGCGCGCAGCATAGCTGTTGTCAGTAGCATAAAAGGGTGAAGTAAATCTGGGACTCTTAGTTGTGGGACTCCAGATAACTAGATAATGTAGCTGGAGGGTCTTGTAGTGTGAGTAAAATTTGGCCCGAACACTCAACGCTAAGAGGACCGGCGACGGAAGAGACAACCGTTTACCAGACAGCTCAAATAGTTGTCTGTCGCGCCACTGCACATGAAATATCGTGTCTGACTAAATGGGGCTGTTGATCAAATGCAGTCTGGGTGAATCTGTAAAAGTACAAATGGCGTGGTGACGTAATGACACGGCTTGCTTGGGGGAAGTACACGCGTAGGGGGTTATGAGGAGACGGTTTCGCAGGTCAATGTGACGGGGAATGCGACGACTGGGAGCGATTAGTTCTAATTCCCTGGCCAATACGTCCCCACTCGTCTAAGTTTTCCAAAAAGTCCATTTACGTAAAACATCGAGGCCCTTTTGATCAAGTTTAAATGATTGCTCTTGACAAAATAATCAGTGATTTCTTAGCCATTTTTTTGTAATTGATGTGCATAGTAAATCATCTTACTTTCCTCTATCCCAAAAGAAACGAAATCTTATTTCCTAAGAGGTATCATTTTCGGTAAATAATTTTACTTTTGAATGACGTACTTCATTCTAATGGAAGAGAACGCTGAAAGTGTGAGTGCCCTGTAAATTTTCAGAATTGAATATTTTTATGATAACTTGTACTTGTGCACTTTTACTTGTGTATTTTCATAAATTCGAAGCATAATAATGCCCTCTTTGAGTATTTTAAGGCGTTTATGTTTGATAATATGTTGAGTAGCACGACTGTCCGTAAATACGATCAGCCGGGTATAAAAATTAGCCCGTCGAGTATAGTTCAGGAGTAACCTTTTAGGCACAAAGGTTGCTGGTGAAAAGGGAATACATTTAAACTGTCAATTATTTGAAATTAAGCTCGTCCTAAGCTTTTTCCATGGCTACCGATTTGAAGTGGCTTAATGGAACATAGATTCATTGAAATCGTGGGTATCAAGTGACAATCCTGTAAATTTAACCCATAGCTTATGCTTTACCTTTTTAAATTACTATTAAACTACTATGCTACCTACGAAATCGATACCTAAATTATTTATTATGAAAAAATTGCGATCCATAAAATGGCACTGTATGGCAACCAAACAATAGTTGATCTGAATAAGAGAAACTCATACCTCACAGGCTTTATCTATGGGCAATACAAAAGAGAAAACTTTTATCATAATTATGAAACCCTTAGAGTTGGTTTTTCATGCTTTGTTACCGACGTCAGAATTTTCGACTTTGTAGCCTGGCAAATATCTTGCACCGATAATTAAGCAGGGTGCTGCAGCACCGCGTATTACATGTAACTTTTACAAAAATGAAAAAAAAACCAGATTTTGGTATAAGGAGCGAATTTCGCCTGTATCTTTTGTAAGATGGTTAAGAACCTTTCACGACCACCGCACTCCATTCCAATTTTGTAAAATGACAGTAAGATAATTTGTTGCATATTCACATTAACCCTGATAACGTGGCAATGTTCCCTGACCCACACATTAAATAAGAAGATAACATATTTATTTAAGTTTTAAAGTTTAAGATTATGGCTCAAAAAATAGTTGTAAAATCAAATTTTCCTGAAGTTGACAAGTTCTGCTGAACCGGGTCAAAAACCAAAGAATTTGAATGTATTACTTTTTGAATTAAAAATTCTTTATGCTCATTAAATCATAAGCATCATTTCTCGATTTATAAATGTCAGCTTTCCTCAAACTATCTGTATTGTTCACATTCAAAAGGCAATTCACAATTTTTTGACGAGATGGTCTATTGAAATGATAGCTTTCTAACTCAAAAAACGAAGTATTTGTTTTATATTGTTAACATTTAAAAAAACTTATCCGAGCAGACTAATGGGACTCAAGAACAGTAAAGCCGATAAGGAAAATTGTAGTTATGCCAAATCAGGAAAAACTTTTAATTCCAATGCTGTTATCACATAAAATCTCCTGAGGAACCATAAGATTGCGCTATTATCTTCTGCTTTTCGTAAGATAAGTGTCGTAGTTGAGTTTACTTAGTAAACCATGGTATTATCCAAAACATATGCTTTTTTAATGTCTCAATTCAGAAAATTATATTTCAACTAATTTACACCTTTTTCAAACCAATAAAAGACAAATTTTCTTGTGATTTTCCTGAAAATTTTTGTTAGTGGGTATAATAAAAACATATTTAGAGAAAACTTCCATGTTTTCAAAATATAAAAATGTATTTACCGCCACTAGAAAACGACATTAGCAATATATCTTCTTGACTGTGTAGTCTATTCCATCGCATCTAAAAATCTAAACGTAAAGTTATTTTCTCTGGTTAAAAATTATGACCTCTAACGTAGGTAGCCCAAAAAGTAAGGCATATTTTAACCTAAGAGTATCTATTCAAAGTCCCCTCTTCTAAATTGTTAAGCATTTTTCTTAAGGCACTAATTTTTCATTAGCGTTGTTGTGCACTTGCTAACATCCAACAGCACTTAAACAGCAAACACACGAATTCAATTTCTTTTAAAAAAACGAAAACGTTGTCTATTAGATGTAGTTATTGCTGATTATAAATCCGCCTTAAATGATTTATGCAAACATATTTTAATGAATATCCACACGACCTTGAGGTAGGGGTTTGATTGTCGGGTGGCGCGGTTAATGTGCTTGGTTGGGGTTGCGGTACTCTATCAGGTTTTCTGGGATGGGTCAAGATCAATCGCGGCAGGAAAAGTTTTTCGATGCATGTAGTTATGGGAGAGAATGGCTAGTTAAAGAAATGATTTCGGAAGGGATCGATGTAAATTGGAAATCTAATATTGTATGTCCTTTCAACCGTTTTTATACTTTTTCTCAGCATGACTGCTGTCCGATACATGCTGCCTCCCAAGGAAAACCAGAAATAGTCCGCATTTTGATAGAGGCGAAGTGTAACATCGATGCAAGAGATATAGTACTTGTGCTATTTTAAATTAACACCGTTTTCAGAACGAAAACACTGCCCTCCATCACGCTGCCATGTCAGGCCACTCTGACTGTGTAAAAGCCCTTTTATCGGCAGGCGCGTCTGTCAACGTATCAAATAACCAGTTTTGGACACCTCTTACTAATGCGGCTTATTGGAATCATCCGGAGATTGTCAAGCTCCTTCTTGACCGAGGTGCCGATCCTTTTTGGAAAAATAAAGTAAGTGTTTCATATTTGCTTGAAGCTTTACATATTAATTTCTGTATACAATAAGCTGAATTGAGTCTAATATTGGTGTGCACAGTTATGTTGGTGCCAAATTCGATTAGTTAAATGGTTAAAATATTTGCCTCGTTTATGGGGACCTCATTTTGCTTGTACTGATATAAAATAATTACAGTATATTAAATGTGTAGCGCTTGCTGTTTTTCCTACACGTTTGTCATATTTCTTTTATTTCATAAGTCCTAAATTTACCAAACTGCTTATCAATTGTGCCAATGGTTCATGTCTTGATGCAATCGCTCGTGTTTTACAAAATGTGTAATTCATGGTCTTCGCACCTTAACAAAATTTTAAAATGTTACCATTGTGTGCTTTGGCTGTAGGCTTGTAGCTTTGATCCTAAATTAATACTTTGCCTACCTCATTTTTATTCGCTGTTTTTTCGTTGATTGTTGTGCTTGATTATGTTTAAATTCATCATAACTTTGTCCCATTCTCATGGTATTCAACTGACTTTAATGCGTCCTCCGAAATCGCCCTTAATTTGCTTTCGTAGTACGTAAAGGCAGCAGCACTGAAGTCCATTTTCTTGACTGTCCCCACAGTGAAAAAAAAGAAATACATAGCTATTTCCCACTACGCTAAACGCAGCATTTCACTGCTCAATTCTCTACAATGGCGTCAGCTGCGGAAACTTGCCACCGATTGTGTAAATCAGGGCAATCAACTTTCAGTCATGTCTGGTGGTTTTTAGTCCAACTGCCATCAATCGCGCGAATTCAGGCACGTGCTTTGGTTAAAATCCGAATGCTTGTCATTAGATATCTTCCGGATTAGTAAACACTTGATTTAACATTTAAATTATAGCTTAAAATACTGTCGTTCTGCCTCACAGAATCCATGATTGGTTGCTAGCACAAAATACGATGAGCATCAAAAGATGTCTGACTGAGTAAGTGTTAAACAAAATGGCTTGTTTACTGCAAAAGTTTATTTGAATATCCATTGGTGCGTTGTCGCAGTGAAGCACAACAAGCAATCTTGTGACTGGCTTGTAGTGCTGTTTTTTTTTCTAATGCAAAGCAATCTCATCAATAATTCTGGACTGCTACTTGGTGAAAACGAAGGCCTTTCCCTTGTTTGAATTCAGAAACTTCCATTCAAGATTTGAGTCAATTACCATCTTCGTTTCCCCACTTTCTCTGTTCTTCACCCTACGTGTGAGGGCTATTTGTGGGTTATGACATAAGTTATGGGTTTCTTCACGAACCAACTGCCTCTCACACGAGCTTACATGGGGGCTTTCTCCCATTCGCCTCTTAACTAGTTTCGTGCCTTTTGTCTTACCCAGTGCAAGGGTGAACAACTGTGTTCTTTTTTCAATACCAAAATGTACTCCTTAAGCATAATATAATTTAGAAGGGTGCACAGAAAAAGCCATTCTGGCGCGATAAGATTATTGCCCTCACACGGGCGCTAGTTGCAAGCGTGTTTAAACCCTGCTAAGTGTCTTTTGCTAGGTAATTTATCGATGCACAGGTATTACATTAATGCCGTACTAAGTGCACTTTCCCAAAAGCCACGCTTCTAGTTCCACCAACTGGTAGTTTGCGTTGTACGGCGTTGGAGGTTGCTAGTTAATGTAACCTCAGTTGCCTCTCACAGCACTAGCTTTAGAATCAGATGTCGAATCAGCTACACAGTCTCTGTCCCTAAGTGGTCTCGCGTTTGTTTTCAAAGTACATTTGACACTTCTTGTCCAAACTCATGACAGTTGCAGTTCTGTTTTTGCGATATGGCGATCATCCACGTGGTGTAACCCGAATCGCGCTTTCTCGTCCCATTCTAATGTATCATTAAACCAACTAGTAGTTTGCGTTGTACGGCGTTAGAGATTGCTAGTTAATTTAACCTGGGTTCGCGGCCAATTTTCGTGAAGTTCAGTTACTCCCATCCACGCTGGTATGGTTTCTTGTGTTGACGTGCTTTTCCTTCTTGCAGGACGGTCGAAACCCATTGCATGAGCTGTGTCGCAGCAAGTCTGAGGACAAGGAAGGCCTCGTCACGTGTCTTCGGCTCCTGTTGGATCGCATGAAGGAGCTCGAGAAGACGCTCAAGTCGGACGAAAAGGTACCGTAGCCTGAAAGACATACGTCTGCACACACCGTCGTTCACTCATCTCTGAGGCTACTAAAGTTGCCCATTGCCGGAAGTGATCCTGAAGCGCACTAACCGTGATTAGTCTAGGCAGGACAACACGATTCTACTATCATTACCTCCTCCTATCGCGTTTAAAATGAGACAGACCTCACCGTAACCGCGTCTTTGTGTGGTGTCGCGTAGGATCACAGTTTTCTCTTTACGCCAAGTAGGATACCAAGTCTAGTGTGGTCACGTCGTTTGATCGAGTTCACTTTCCATTTAATCAACTATGTCCTTCCACAGATCCATTATTAATGGAGGTTTTGAATAGCTGATCGGGTGGTTTCACTTATTCGATCCCCGAATTTTTTTACGATTACGCGTTGCAACCGGCCTCCTTCCACCCGGAGTGGGACCTCACAAGTCCATCGCTTTACATAGACGCACCTCGTCGACTTGGATATGATGACCTGGGCTAGCAATTGGATGATTCGTTTTTCTTTATCGAAACAATGGTGCGTGCTTGTTCATGAGCCAGCCGAAAAGCGTGGAGCGGACGTGTGTCCCCGTCTTCCAGTGTGTGCCTTGACCCCGGTGGCTAGACCTGTACCTTTTTTTTTCTTAAAATCTTCACCCGTCACAATAGGCCTCTTTTTCCCGTTGCTCCCTAGAAGCCGGTGACCCAGAATGGACATGCCGAGTCCAATTCCACGCCCTCAAAGACCACCGTGGAGGGGCACTACAAGCAGATGGTGCTGACGGACTGGGTTCCCCTCAAACCCGGAGACTCCTCGCTGGAACTACGCTCCTCGCCCACTAACGCGTGGGACTCTGAGGTAGGCACGTTTTGTGTCGGCGAATTCGTCGTTCTAGCGTTCGTTCATCACGCTCTGCAATTTTGCCTAAGTACACAAATTCGAGTTCACTTTTGTTCAGTTGCCGGCTGCAAAATTTGAATTGCTTACTAATAGTCTCAAAATTCGTTTCCTCATTGTTTAAACCGTTCTTCTTCGGTCGCAATTTGCCTTCCCCCACCCTGATCTGTCGAGTTCTTGCCTAGCACTTTGGCTTGTGACTTTTGGGCGCTAAGCCATTTCCTCGATGGGTTTTTTTTGGCCCAAGCTGCGAAGAAACAGTCTCGCACTTCTTATACCAGCTGAAAATTGCCAGATTTTTTTTAACGCGTGCTCTGTCACTACGCACGATGGCTTAGTTCAAATAAGTAGCGCAGTTCGTACTGATTTGGAGCCAAAAATGTGAAATTTTTTTGTCGACTTTAGTGCATTTGTGACTTGCTAAAAGCAACCGAAGGCAAATTCGCGACTGCTTGTTTTTGTGCTGCAGAAGAGTAGCGGCCAAGGTGCTTCTAGGATCACTAATGCCCCGATTTCGTTTACCCTTGAAAGTGCATTTAAAATACACCAAAAAATTCACACAAACAGACTTAGCTCGTGTTGACTTATCCGCAACGCCGGTTATGTTTTTTTTTAACTGATCAGAACTTGTGGCTGGTATATTTGCGGCTGAATTCACCCTCTGGGGTCAGCTGAATGCCAGGTCAAATTAGCGAAAACACTGGCTTTTAATTAACCAATCGCACTTTTCAGGCATGAAAGAAAGCGCCTTGATTAATCCTTTCTTTGTATCAGTAGAAAGTTGATTCTTGCACGCTACCTGTGTGTGTGTAGGCGCTCGATGTGTGCTAGCGTCAGAGGTTGACTGTGTGATAACATGTTTACTTCTAGTCATGACAAAACGGTGCTTATGTCAGGGGAAGTGTTTGCGACTGCAGACGCCTGGTGCCAAATTGTCTCTAAGGCAAACCAACAACTATCCCAAGGGCATTAAATGCCTTTATCCACTTTCTATTTATAGTTTACAACACCGAGCATCTATTTGTTGTTGCTTGCTGCCTGTGCTAGGGTTGCTTGGCAACGTAAAAGGCGAACGGCACCCCAGACAACCCTCGCACCGACATTCCTTGCCTCCTTGAATGTCGCTTCGGCACTTATTCTTGGGCATCCGCACGGGCTGCTGCCTCGCCTTTTTACGATTGTGCTTGTAATTAGTCGCGTCCACCAGACACGACTGTTTCTGCTCTCTCTCCTTGCAACTTGTGGCAGTTTGTGGGGTTTTTTGCATTGCTAACAACCAGGTAGATGAACGCGGAGGCAGTAATTATGGCCTGCCGGTGGACACGGGGTGACGCGTAGTCGTGACTCCTTTGAAGTAGTAGCGAATGTGCGCGTACGTAAATAGTATGTAAATTGAGGTGGACTGGGGGAGGGGGGTGAGGGTTGCGGACCACTCGGCTGTGGTGCGCAACTCCGCGGGTTTTCGAGTCCTACTCCTGGTCTCGCAGAAGGACGTATTTTTTGTGAAACCACTGACTGCGGTGCTCTGATGTGTTCCAGTCAGTTACTTGCATTGGATGCGTCTTTTCCTTTGAAGCAAATCGCTGATGCACAAATTCTTATGCTGAGTATCCGCAGCTGACACCTCCCCCAGGGAATTGAGCAGTCGAATGTTGGCTTGAGCGTTTTCTTCCCATTATTCGGACAATCACGAAAGCGGACTTCAGGGCTGCCGGCGGCGTCGAAGTGGTTGGCGGTGAGGTTAGCGCTTACTTCATCCGCTTAGATAACCGCTGACAATAAGGACCCTTTCCTCGTATTTTTTTACTTGGTTCCGCTACTCAAAGCGTTTTGGAGCTGTAAACTTAACCGATTTCTTGTAACTGAAGTGGGACTGCGTTAGTAGTATGAGCTTTTCGCGGTGGATGCATGACGCAGCAGAACGGTTGGTGATCGCGATAGTCAGCTGTCCTCATCCCTAGATTGTTTACGTGGACACTTTTCCTCACACAGTAGCACAGAGCTTCTCTTCTACTGTCCTAACATTAATCCAGTTAGGAATGCCATCGAGTTCCTGAGTTAAGGCCACATAGGTTATGTCCATAAGCTCGGCGATTTTTCAAAGCTGTTCACCTGGCAAGCGCTTGAACAGAACTTTCGCAGAAATCGCTTCAGGTTCGCCAACTCTCGCAGCATTATCAAACTCGAGTTCATCCTGTATCACAACATCTACGCGATGTGTTCTCGTGCATCCCGCAACGAAGGTAAAGACTTCAGTAAGCAGTCAAGAAGAATGTGGCAAATAGCAGTGAATAGACGGTGCTGCCTTTTCTGTGAAGTGGAAGTAAAACTAGTTAACTGGAATTGCAGACGCGGCGCAAATTGGTAAATTTCATTAACTTTGGCAATAGCCTCAAGCAAATGCCCCGTCTTTCGGCTTCCAAAACGACAGTACAGCTGATGTTTTCGAAAAAGAAACACATAAATTGCGGTCTGTCGTTGGAAAATCTCCACCAGCCTCTTCGATTTGCCCTGGTTTTATGGGGTGTCGATGAGAGGGTGTTAATCAGAGTAACTTGTTTACGAACGCACCAATCCTCACTCAACACTTGAAGGTCGTTTTGATTCGTCGTTTTGTAGACAAGGTCATTTTCAGGGAAGCAGAGGTGTCCCCCAGACTCAGTGTGCGGCTTCTGTGGCCGTTACGTGTACGGTGAATCACGCGCTATGCTCGTCACAGCTGTTTCTCTGACCATAAGCAGTATTTAGCCGTTAGATGTTACTAAGCACCATCGAAGTTACATGTGCCAGGAGCTTCTAATCCCGCCCACTTGGTGGTTCCACACTTAATTTGCATTCTGGCGTGAAATTTCCGCCGACGTTGTGCGAACACATGGCGTTTACCGAGTCTGGGATTTCTCTGCATGATCTAGCAGGAGGTCGTTGCCGAGGATACTCATTGGAGTCGACCCTCTGCCGAAATTGTCTGTCTTCCACGCGTTGGCAGCACCTTGAACGTTCGACGATGCGTGATCTCAGATTTCTCTTAGTATCTAATCGCAACGTGTGTGTGTGTGCGTGCCGTTCATGTTATTAAACAACACGTACTTTTTTTCACACGCCTCATCACCAACACCTAGCGGTTTTAGCTCGTCAAGCCACTGAATCACAGATCGCGTTAACTGCAGCATCGACGAGTGGATCCGATTTATACCGCTGTTTCATCCAGACAGGCTTCGATTATCGATTGGCTTGACCGTCTTTTGATTTACCCGCCTGATATTGTTTCATTGCGTATGACACATCCATCCGTCGTCTGTGCGTAGTTTTAATAATTTGGGTTTTCATACCCACGCGGAATCGGGAAACGAAAGAATCTATGGTGTCCAGTCACTAGTTGACAGCTTTGATGTATTCTTGCCGGTTATGTGGACTAGGAAAATCCACTGACGTGACGTTTTGTTACTTTGAAATTCTAAACATTCTTCACTTTGTGGTTAAATTCTGTATCAGGGTTGGAAATCGGGAAGTTCTTGAAGTCACTTCTTCAAAGTACTGATTAAAGTTCATTTTTCGAATCAGTGAAATCTACACTCCATGATGTAAAGTCCGATTTCATTACTGAACCAAGCGTGTAAATCCTGAAGTAAGTGACTGTTGACCTGGTCAGACGCTCGAAGCCAAATCGCAAGACGCGTTGTTCCCTCTCCTCCCTTCTTCTTCTTAATTTGATTTGAATTTGGCTACCAAACGAATTTCACTTCTGAAAAATACAAACGCGTGTTCCATCTACGCTGAAGCTTCGGCAGTGTGTGTAAGACTGTGTCCTCCTAGCACGCAAGACTTATTCCGTGGTTGCCCTCTTGAATGTACTTGCAGTTCTTCCCACGCTCAGCTGACTTCTAAGGGGCTCGTATCTGTGGTTTTTGCGTTCGTTCTCGTGACCAAATGCGTAGTTTTGTTCTCCGGGCGTGAACGCATAAAACTAGGTGTGGCTCCCGTGCCCCATTTCTCACGATCACGTTCACGTAAAGCGATAATCTGGGGCAGTTTGGTTATCGAGAACAAAGGCAAGGCTACAACCATTTTGTTAGCGTCACGCCAGCCAAGTGTCTTTGTGTGCAAATGACAGGCGTCTGATAACAGTAACCAATGAGAGAGCGGTGAGTCAGGAACACCATCAGGTCAGCAAACAGGCTTCACTCACGCGCGACTGCCGGCAGTCCGCTACGACCAGGTCTCTCAGCATCTACCAGTTGGATCGAAGTCTTTTCGGTAGAATAACGAGATTAGTAGGTTGTTGCTACCAGTTTCCGTTTTCTTTTACGTCCAACTTGCTCCCACCACGACCTGCAATCCAGAGGCTAGTTCGAGTCTGGCCATCAAGGAGTGCATTTCGAAATGCCGCGTGCATTTATGGCCACAGATGCGCGGCCGACAGCGCTTGGGTTCGTCAGTAAACAATTTACTTCCCTTGTGCACCCTAAGCTTCCGGAATGCTTGGTTCATTATTGGCACGTAGGTGGACCAACTGGCGTGCCTTTTGGGTTTCTGCCAGTTCGCCTCTTCCATCTTCTTGGCATCTGAAGCGCGTCGTTTAAGCTGAACATTGCCTATCTCGTTTTTGGTACATAGCGGACTGCCCTTGGCATGAAGGTGACATTGCGGCAGAACCACACAAGACCGATCAAAGCGCTTCTGTGATGACTCCCTCCTTCTTCCTCCTTTCACGTTTTACTCTGTCCGTCTTTCCTCTTTTTTTATGTGTGCCTTTAAAGGTGACGCACACGATTATGAATCCCAGACTCGCTCACTTCTAGAATTCCTGCGTTGAAGGTCTAATTACTTTGTTTTCTTTTGTCATTCCCCAGGCCGATTTTACTCCCCTCATCTTCGCGTCCTACCACGGCAACTGCTCCCTCGTGGAGACCCTTCTCGAGATGGGCGCCGACATCAACGCGGTGGACAGGGTGAGTGTGTGCGCGCTTCACTGCGAGTTGTTTGTGCCTTGAAGTCGCGTCAGCTTGCCGTGGCGCAGACTCCGACCTGGCATCTGAGGGAGTGTTCGATCTACCTACCCCCAGTTCTCGGTGCTAGTGTTAACTTGGGAACTATTCACGATGGAACGCCAGTTTGCGTGGTTCAGGAAGCGATGAGGCTTCGAAAATGCTACTTATGATGCATCCAAGAGCAGCTTACGCCCTTCTGGAATATCCTGTTGTGGGCCCCAGCATGTGGCCTTGAACCACGCCGGGGCCACGGAATTAACCCTGGCCTGATCACGCTTCCCTGATACCCGCGATGAAGAAAAAGACCGGAGAGGACGTGGACACAACCGTTTACTTCAGAGCTCAACCACGT